AATTTTATTATTAAATATAAAAGATATTTTATTAAAATTTTAACTTGCTCGTAATGTCTTCACTTCGTAAATCAACCAACAAAATAAACTAATGTTAAACAGGGATTAACCTTGGCCTTTTGAGTTTGCATTAATAAAGAATAGTGGACTATCTCCGGTAGATCGATAGACTAATTCTAGTCGTTGCTGACAAGACACATTGATAAGAAGTACTTATAAGTGGTGATTCTACGAATATATACTTTGAAAAAACATCCAGAAAGAAAAATAATAAAAGACTGAAATATGTTTGAGTAAACATGTATCAAATCATTTGCTTTTCTGTTTATTCTTTCTATCAAAAAGTAGTCTTTGATACACTATCCACACACGCCGAACTAACCTTAATTTTGTTCATTATTACTAGTTTTTCAGTGTGGGTCTATATAAACCTCACTTAAGGGGGAACCCCCTCCGAAAGTCGATTTTTCTTGAAAAACTCGATTTTTGAAAAAACACATATTCTAGTTGCCCTGAGTGTCCTCTTTCAGAATATGTATAAATTATATAAGAAGGGAACATATTTTGCTAAATTTTTTGGCATCTATTGGAAGTCATAGTGGAAAATCGACTGTTGTGCTGATCTGTAAGCCCCATATCGTCTCAAAGGTGAACGTATTTTTTTAAAATTTTTTTATCGTTTTGTAGAGAATCGAAAGTTGCATAAGATATAAAAAACTTAGTGTGGTCCCGTTTGAGTTCGTAAGGTGGCAGCAGATATACTACCCAGCATCGACCATTATAGACTCATAAATTGTGGACTTTTTTTGTGAATGTTGAACTAGAGAATCCCAGTAAATAGATGATATCTAGTAATTTAAATAGCTCGATTTTTTCAGCTATTGATCCTCTACCTGTTGGTATATTGCATGAAAAAATTCTCTGACTTGTTGAAGCACAATCCTAATAGAGATCTATGGAACGATTTATACTTATTTTCTTGATAGTAGGTTGGTAGTACTCAAAAGTCGGTCCGGACTAACTTTACTGTAGTAAATCCAAATGAGCTAAAATTTTGGATTTGGTGGTTTTAGATGATGCCCTTTCGAATGCACATAAAAAATCAAAAATTAAAATTTTGACCAGTGCCTCGTATACTGGATTGATCGTTGATCCTCTCATGGACCCTCTCTTAACGTCGAACTAAGATGAACTTTTTTTTTCGAAAACATTTTGAAGCGAAATATGTTCTTATTGACTGTCGTCCTGCAGAAAGATCATTCAAAATTCTGCTCTTGTCTTGACTTAAAAATGAAATGCATGATTGTGTTGATTCGATAATTTGCTCGTTTGAAAGTCGAAAGTTTTAGTGGATTTTTTTAGAAAAAACTGGATATTCTTTTTTTATTTATATTTTGCTTCTGTGTCAATAACGTTGAATTTCTTAGTCGAAAAAAGCTATCAGAATAAAAACAAAGTTATTTAATGGCCTGCATTTACTTCCGATGAATTTATAAGACTTTTCCTCGTTATCTATGTGATTATAAGCATGTACTTCTGCTTGTCTTCTTTTCTCTGATTGTCAGGCATGCCTCGCGGATTTTCTTTTCCTGTCATGTACGTTTGATGAACTTCTCATGTTATTGGTCATCATCAACAAGACTTCCTTTCCTTTTTCATAAACTATGAAGTCTTTCATGGTTTGAGCTCTCCTTCTTGTTACTATCCTATATATGAGTTACGACATTATTGCGAAGCGAGAAGTTTATATGTAGAAGTAAATTATAAGTGAGAGATTCGGATCTGACAACTTAATTATTCCACCAGAAAGCATTTTAATTGTGAAATTGAATATGATTTTATGGAGAAATCAATTGGAATCGGTTCTAACATATATCGTTTTTTTTGTGATTACTAGCATTGTATGTGTATTACATAGAAAAAAAAAAGTTATCAATAAGAAATATGTATAAATTTATCTTCAAGGAAATATGATATTAACGAAACTAATTAGAAAGATAACAGTGGCAATCGTTTATTTAATGGAAACAATAAATGAAGAATTTACCTTTCTTTATCTTGGATCTTACTATTTAAAGAACAAAATCATTATTTTTATTCTTTGTCTTGTGCGTATATTCAGATAGTAATCAGAAGTACATAGAGTAGAAATTGGCGAACAAAACATTTTTGACAAATCATCGTAAGATAACAGTTCTTCGCTAATAGAAGATAACAATTGCGAAAGGAACAACAAAAGAAAAAAAATGCTAATTATAGCACTACTTTCCTATATATTTAACAAATCGAACTAGTTAAAAAATGATTAATTTTTTTTCTAGTACACTACACTCCACGAGAAAATTCAGTACTGTGGAAAACCTAGAAAGATCGTTTCTGAACATTTTTATGTCAGAAGGGTTTTCAGGATGAACCCGGAAATCTTTAAAAGTTTCTTCAAATTGCAAATCGATTTCAAAAAGTTCGAAAACTCTTTTAACATTTCCGATAGTAACATTTTTGGACACTATTAAGGGTTTTTGATTTTTTCAGAAATGTTTCTATTTGAAAAGCTTGAAGAGTTTCCAATATAGGAAAACAACGTATAATATTCTTAAAATTTTTTTTCTGACAGGTAACTTTATATATTATGCAACCTTGTAATAAAATATTGAATAACAATAACATATCATACACTGCTCATGCAGTGTCATGGAAACAATCAATGCTTTGTAAAATTCAATCGATCTTAATGTTCACTCTATCTAGTCAAATTAAATAAGTCGAATTTCATCATACAATACTTGACCAATATTATTCTTTTTAAATAAATTATCATCGAACATTTATACTTTAAAATAATTGATGTATAGAAAAAATTAATATATAAATGTGTGTATCTATTATGTAACATGTCAAATGTTCTCACTTGACTCTAAGAAGACCTTCAATCTTTGTGTGACCATAATCATCAATATTTCTAAATTTTAAAATAAATGTAATAAAAATGTTCATTTCAGCAATAAATATATATTTATTTATAATATCAATAATGAATAATAATAAAAAAGAAAAGAAAAGAACCTGTATGTGTGTGTTAGTGGTATTTTCATGCATTCTTAAAAGTAATGAAGAAGAAGAAGATGAACGAAAAACTCATATATATACATAAAATATAGTACAGATATATGAATGATCCTTTTTCCAACCCAATCTACTACATCTATTTCGATAGATTCCCAACACAATTTCATTAAATTATTCACAAATACATATACCTCCCATATAGATGAACTCGTTGATGTAAAACAATAAATAACAAAACAAAACAAAAAAAAAACAAATAGTTGTTGTAAAACCAAAGAGAAAAGAAGAAAGGAGAAATATGAGGAATGTTCATATAAATGTAAATATGTTTCGTGAGTTTATGACTCGATATACAGATATATATATGTACACAAATGTTTTTAATTATTTGCAAATAAAAAAAAAAGGAAAACTGTAGTTGACAAACATAAAAGCAAAAGAAAAAACGTATTTGTTTTTTTTGTATATATATGTATGTGTCAATTCAATAAATGTTTTTATGTACAAAGTAAAATATTTGTTAATTGGTTTAGTCTAATGCATAAAAATAAGGCGTTTTCATGCGTAGATAACGACGTAAACATAAATACATTCTTAAAAAGAAAAAAACATAATATATTTTTTTTCATAATTTCTAATTAAACTTACATTCCCATGCCAAGAATAAAACTAGCACAATTACTTAAAATAAGATAACGCATACGTTTTTTTTCAATTAATGCCTTTTCAGCTTCTTTAGCTGCTTTTTCTTCTTCATCTTCAAAAAGTAATTGATCACGTACGCTTCGGTTTATTGGATGAACAAATTTCCATTCTCTTTAAACAAAAAAAAATTTATTTTTTAAGAAATTAATAAAAAAAAGAAAAAAACTTGAATTGTTTTTCTTTTTTTACTTTGGTGGTTCAGCTTCAATACGTGATGACCAATATGACATCCACTCGGCAACATTTCGATCCGTTTGCACAGGACTTTTAGGGCTTTTTGGTGATGAACTAAAATAAATTTTGTCTTTCTTTTTTTTGCAGAAGGAAACAAAAAATTTATATCAATAAAAACTCTTTTACCTATCACTCTGTGAACCTTTGGAACCAACACGAGATGATTCTTTTTGTGCTTCTAATAATAAATGTTCATTAATATGCATACTTGATGTAAGATCTCTATCAGCAAATGAACTTGTCATTGTTGATGGTGACATTATTTGTTTTTCTTCTGATTGAAGATCAATCCATGGATCTACAAAAAAAAAAAGAACAAATATTTAATCGATTAAACAAAAACAAAAGACTGTCGTTTTGAATTTATTTTACCTGATGTGTAACTTTGAAATGATTTGTTCATGATTCTAATATTATTATTTTCTTCTTTAGTTTTTTTGTTAAATGTAGTGAAATCTAGAAATACAAAAATTTCCTATTCTGGTTAATTACGTTTGTCATTGTCGCAAATCAACAATAATAACAATAACAAAATTCTTATGCTTCCAATAGAAACGTCAAATACAAAAAATGTTCTTTCTGACTCATCCATAATCGATAGAACCATGTGATTCTTAAACATACATACTGCTTCAATGCACGTGATCTATCTGACCTATCGATGTTAATCAATGAACAAGAGAAAATTCTAATGTTCAATAACAACTCATCATGCGCAATAACCATGAACTTTTGTCTAAGTGCATGTGTAATTCCACAATAGAACACATGATCAAAATAAACACGTGTGGACATCGAGTATAACGAAGTTTTCTCGAATTGATTATGTGCAAATGCATTAATGTGTCGAACAAATATTTACTAACATACATAGAGGACGTTGCTTAACATCGAGTTTTTAATATGGTTGATGTTCCTATCAACGAAATTTAATAAAAAAAAACACTGTATCTTTTTTTTGCTATATTCAATAAACAAAGTATTTCAAAAAAAAAATGCGTTATAAAGAACATGGAATTGTTATTGAACCAAATGAAATTGAATTTCCACATGTAATACAAAATAATGCATATCGACAAACAATTCATGTTAAAAATGTAGGAAATAAAAGTATACGTATACAAATATTTCGACCAGCTATCAAGGTTAATTTTTTTTTCTTTTTTTTTTTTAAATTTTAAAAATAGATTTCAATTTTTTTCTTTTTATAGGATTTTCAATTAATTGTTAATAATCCAGATCAACCTGTTCCACCTGGTCTTGAAGTGACAGGTGTTGTTGAATATGTAGCAAAATCTAATCAAGAACAACGTGATATTATTGTTGTTGACATTGATGGACAAGAAATACAAATTCCTCTATTTGCTTTTCCAGCACGACCAGAAATTTCAGTTGATGGTATGATGTTTTTTTTTTTAACTTTGATTACTAAATATAGAAAAATAATGTTTATTTCTGTAATTATATTTATTCTAAAATCAAAAATTTTTTTAAAAAATCTTATTTATTTAGAATTAATCGATTTTGGTGTTCATGTTGCTGATAATAAGACTGTTTATAAAACGATTTTTGTTCGAAATACTGGTAGTACAGCTGCACCATATAAAATTGAGTATAAAGGTGAACATCCAATTGGATTTTCACCACATTCAGCAGTTATCCAACCAAATTCTTCTATTACGGTCGAGGTAATATTAAGGAAATAACAATTTGAAAAATTAATTTTAATATATTTGAAAATAATGTTTTTTTTTTTAAATCAAAGGTATCTTTATTAACATCAATGGTAACAGAAATTAATGATACTGCTACGTAGGTTGAACAATTATTTGAAAAAAAATTGTTGTTTTTTTGCTTCTTGGTTTTTATTAGATTAGATGCATGTCATAAAACACATGAAATAAAATTAATAGGAAAAATAATGAATCGTCGTTTATGTTTATTACATCCAAAAACTAGTGAAGAATTACAAAAACTTAATTTTGGCTCGTGTTATTATGGTTGTGATCTTACAGCATTAGCTATTTTATATAATGATTCACCTGAATCAGTTGCTTATTCAGCATTAATCGATGATTCAAAACCAACAGTACGGATTTAATAATTTTTGTATTTTCATAACAAAAATCTAATTCATATTTATTTGTAGGATTTAGATCAAGAAGAAACATCTTATGTTATATATACAATGAATCCATTAAATTCTATAATTACTGTTTTTCCAAATCAAGGCATACTTAATCCATTTGAAAAACGTCCATTATTCTTTCGTTTTAGTCCAAGGTATAACATTTTTTGATGCCATGTTTGTTCACTTTTGACTCACTAAAAAGTATTTTCGACGAGTCAAAAATCATAACATAGAAGACCAGGATTTTGTGTTCTTTTTGAATATCGACTTAGAAATTTTGTTCGAGAGTAGTGAAATAACCTTTGAAAAGTTCAAAAAATTAGTTCGAACGAAACACGTTTGTACTTTTACTATTTCAAAAAGAACATAAAATTCTGATTCTAACTCATAGTTTTTAACTCGTCGGAAATACTTTCTACCGCGTCAAAAGTGAACAAACATCTTATCGAAAAACTTTTCGATCACCCGTTATAACTATTTTTTTTCTATTAAATAGAACTTATCCGCCAAAACAAGCATTTGCTACTACACTTGATTTACCACCAAGACGTGATATAGCTGCTTTCATGTATTTTGAATTGTTAGGTGCAAGTCCTGGTCTATCAAATATTGAACATAGTAAAACAAAACTTGAAATAGCTGTAGCTGGTACAGCATTACCAGTTATATTATCACTTGAACCACAAGCATTACAATATCAACTAACATATATTGGACAAAAAAGTGAACAAATGATTCATATTTATAATCAATCTGATCATAAATCAATTGATTTTCGTTTTCCATCAATTGCAAATTTTGCTATACAACCAGCAAGTGGAAAATTAAAACCACGAGAAAAATTAAAAATTCTTGTTACATTTATTCCACATCAAATCGGTTTGTTTGAATTCAATTCTTTTTGTTTTTGTTTGTAATTTCAATTGGTTTTTTTTAATAATTTTCTAGGTAATATTAATAAAACACTTATATGTGAAGTATTGGGTGCAGTTGTAAATCCTAATGCACCAGTTTATACACAATCAAAACCTATTCATCAAACACAATGTTTATTAACGGGTGATGCAGCAGTTATTACTGAAATACCAGCAGAAAAATTTAATATGGGTAAATAATTGAATCATTATATTTTTTTTATATATGTTCGGATTTTTTTTTCCGTGTTTCTATAGGTCTTAAACCAATAATTTCTAATGAAGTTGGTATTAATGTGAATACAACACAAGATTCATTAAAACGTTTTTATCCACGTGCAGCTGTTTTAAATAGTGCTAATGATACAATACATAATAAACGTGCATCAACTACATATTTAAATAATTTTAAAAAACATAAAGTATCATTTCCAAATGATCGTGCAAGAAGTATTGGTCCATTTAATCGAGAAGATAGTTTTATGTAGGATTTTTTTTTTAATAAAAAGAAATGATTGTATTATTTCTTTTTTATTTTTATTTTTTGTTCTTTCAGAACACCATTTACTAAAGAAGAACGATATAATTATATTGATCCTGATTATGCATATACAGATGAAGAAAGAAAACAAATTGAAATGCATGAAAATATGTATAATCAATTATTTGATGAACAAAGATATCAACGATCAGAAGTTAAAAGAACAAAGTAAATTGAAAAAAAAAACCAATTTAAAGAATAATTTATAATAATTTTCTTTTTTTGTTTTTTTCTTTTAATATTTAGAGAATATAAAAAATATGATAATGAAACAGATCTTGGAATAAAGCCAGGCAATGGACTTGATTCACCTCATATTGCTTTACAGGATGTAGAAAAAAATGTTAATAAAGCTATAAGTAAGAGAACATTCTATGCAATTATCTTTTTTTTAAAAAAAAGTAATTCGAAAAAAACATTTATTTTACGTTCAAATTCAATATAAAATCATAGATATTTCAATAAAATTCATTTGCTAATTAATTTCTTCATGATAGAATACTTTTCTTTTATTTATTTATTTATTCTCTGTAATAAATGAAGCATTAAAGCGTAAGTTAATTTGAAAAATGTTCTATACTATTTAAATATAGGATTTTTCAGCCGAGAAGAAAAGTCAAAGGTAGAACAAAAAAGGAATAATAAAAAATGAAATGCAGAAAGAAAAAAAAAGAAACAGATTATAGACGTAAAGAAAACTTCTACACTTCTTGCTTTTTCTCTCTATCATGAATGCTATACATCTAAAAATAAATATAATTTATGAAATTATTATTTTCCTTTTCTTTTTACTATATTCAAGTTCCATCTTATCCCAATTGGAAATATCGTTTACCAACAACATCTGAATTAGCTGAACAAGAACAAACATTATTACATAAACCATTAAAAGAAGGTCTTAATTCAGTACCAACAACACAAAGAGAAAAAAATGATTGTGCTATACTTTTATCACCAAGTCAATTATTTAAAATTGTTGTTGGTTTGTTTTTGTTGTCACTGTTTTTATTTCAATAATAATAAATTTCTTTTTTTTTTTTTTATTCAGGACCACCAGAATTAAATTTTGGTGAAGTTTGTGTTAATGCACCTGTAACAAAATTTTTATCTGTTCTTAATAATCTTGATCAATATATTCTCGTTCAAATTGATGTATGTAATTTTTCTTTTTGAAAATTTTTTTCTTTACTTAAAAAAAAATAACAACAAACATTTCATTTAGGTTGATTCAGCTGCTTTAAAAATGACATCACCATTATGTCAAGTTATACCAGGAAAATCTCATGTACAATTTCCAATAACATTTGAACCAACACAAATTGGTCTTTATCAACGTTCACTCTCATATATAATTAATAATTTTTATCGTCATTATGTTAAAATAATAGCTGATGTTCGTGTACCAACAGTACAATTATCAACAGAAAAACTTCTTATACGTTCATTATCACATCTGTTAGCTGAAGATTCATTTCGTAAAGTTGTTCATTTATATAATCCATTAAATGCACCAGCTGAATTTCGTTGGATACCTATTATTGGTCCAAAAGGAACAGCGTTTTCAATTCGTCCAGCAACAGGTTCTTTTTTCTTTTCTTTTAATTTTATTTCATTAAAAAAAAAAAAAACTTCTTTTAGGAGTTATTGAACCATATCAAACAATTGACAGTGAAGTTGTTTGGTATGGTAGTACACAAGCACCATTAGAAAATTTTTTTACTTTACATGTTTATTCAACAAATGATTCACGAAAAGTACCAGCAAATAGTTCTTCAATAACACCAAATAATGAAACAACACTAACACTTCAATGTATTGCTCAAGTTGGTAAAGCAAAATTTAAAATTCCAGAAAAACGTGTTAATTTTGGTTTAATACCAATAAATATGACATCAAAAAAATCATTTACTATTGTTAATGAAGGAATAAATCATCTTTTTTATCAAGTATAATTATTTCATTTATTTTTATTTTATCAGAGAAATTTTTTAATTGTTTTTTTGTTTTTAAAGATAACTGACCCAAATCCATGTTCTGGTGTTGTTATAAATCCAGCAAATGGTCTTGTTTCAGCTGGTTCACAAACAAGTATAACAATTGAAGTAACACCAATTGAACTAATTAAATTCGATATTAAATTTGGTTTAAAAGTTCTTGGACAAAAAGAACAAGAAATTCGGATGACAGGTGAAGTTATTGAACCAGATTTAAATATTCCTGAAGATGAATTTAATTTTGGTGGTGTACCAATATTAATGAAAGCAACAAAACAATTTCATATTGAAAATAAAGTAGGCGAAAAAGAAATTGTTTTTTTCTATTAAAGGTACCTCCTAGAGTTCGACAGCTTGATCTCGGACTCGATGAACTCTAGTCATCTAGGAAATGTGTAGGATATACTAGTCATCAAGTACAAAGAAATTGGAAAAAAGTATGTCGTCTCTTCGGAGCGATTATCCAATTTCGATTAGAAAATTTCACTGAGAGTATCAAAGTACGGGTTCGAAAATTTTGAATCCGCCAGACCTTACCTCCCTCCCCTACTTTCTGATGTTTCTGGCGACAAGTTCATCAAAAAAATTAGATAGATCTCGATGATTAGAGCAAAATTTGTCACAGACTTAAAGTTTCCGAATGCTCTCTTCTATGAGATACTGAGGTCACAATGACCCTAATTTTCACCCTCCTCCAGCTTTTCTGAGATGTTATGCTTGATCGAGCTGAAAATGTCGTTGTAGGCGTTAGATACCGTTTGAGGTGAATTTTTTTGTTCTGCAAATAACAAAAACTAAAATATTGAAGGTACTCTAAAAAAACCCATGGTTTTTTTTGAAATAAAAAAAAAGTTATCCATCCCAAATAGTGTATTGTATATGTGCAAAATACTAGACAGGAGAAACGAGGACGTTTCTGCACTTTTTTTTCATAAAATAGTTGGTTTGAGAAAAAACGCAAAACAATGCCCAGTTTTCACTAATATGATTTCTCGAATTTGTTAAAGTTTAAAGACAATTTTTGGATGAATAGATAGTTACTAATTCAAACTATACAATGACTACAAAAATGAAAAAAACAAAAATTTTGCCTCACGAAAGGAGTTATTCTTAATTTAATTGCTGAAACAAGTAAAAAGTTTAGATATTTGTCTAGAAAAAAATAGATGAGATCATCTCGAGTTGATTTATATATGTGTATGACTTTAGGTGTTTCAATAAAATTCATTAAGCACAGCAAACATGTTGTATTTTTATTCGTGAGACAAAAAAAAAAACTTCACACAATATTTAAGTTTTTACACGAAGACATTTATCCATTCGAAAATGTTTTTTAACACAAATATTTGGTGAACAACAACGAGCAAGACTAAGTTTACAGCGAACACATCGACGTGGTTGTCCCGAATTATGCTGATGTTTATGGCGAAATATACTTCGTCGGGATATAATATGATTGTCATTGCTTAAATCATGATCATTGTTATTTATGTCCGATTGTGTTAAATCCGATAGGACAATAGTTAAAAAAAGGCCAAGAAAGAATACAATTGTTAATATACGTGTTAGCTGCATGGTTTAAAATGGTAGAAATAATGTTAGGGAAAAAAATCGTAGCGAGTATTTATCTATTGCTATCTAATGATGATCAATTAATACTTAAAATAGAAAAGCTTATTAAGTAATAATAGATTAGATATGAATCTAAAGAGAATATGCGTCGGAAAAATACATATTTGTCTTTAGAAATATGCGATGGTTGAATCAGTATATATGAAGAATAATAAAGTTTCTGTCAACTAGTTAAAATATATTTGCTTATGTATATAAATCAACACTAAGCTTGATGATAAGATATGGTTATATTTTGATGGATGTATACAAATGTATTTATAGTACAAATATTTAATTGTATTGATGCTGTTATGTTGAAAGCTAGAAAATTTGCTATATTTAGAAAACAACTTGATTACTAAAATTCTGTTTTTTGTATGACATTCTTCGTATGGTTTAGCAGATACTTAGATTTTGATTGAAAATTTTCAATGAAGCTTAAGGACAAATTTAATCATAATGATATTAGATTGCTACTTGTGATTTTGTTTTATTTTCTCTCGATTATGATATCAATAACTTGCGCGGAGGTGTATCTATTTGAGAATATTGTCAGCTGACTTGGTGGTTTATTAACCGAATAAATACTGATGCTAAACTCGACAACGAACTATTCGTTTTGAAAATTACACAAGAGTCTACTATTAGTTATTATCATGCGTAATCAAATCATTGCCATTCTTGTTTCTCTTCTTCTCTGTGGTACTCTTTTGATTTCGGCTAATCCTGCTGCATCTGTTCAAGATCAACGTCGTGCTATATCATTTCCAAATAAATTTCCATTATCCAATCCATTCTGTATTCCAATGTTATGCTTCGCTCCATGCATGTGCGGTAGTCAACCTGATTTTCGCGGATGTGAAAGTTGCAGTTGTCTTCCATGTGATGGTAGTTCATGGCCATTTTATTAATCTGTTATTTTCATTAAATAAATGAAAAATATAGTTTAAAAGAAAATAAAAAAGAAAAAAAGACCAATATGTTCATTTGTTTTGTTGTAATTGCAATCCATAATATCTAATATGCTAATTGAATGTAGAAAAAAAAAATATATATATATACATATATTTCGATATGCTTTAAAACTTAATTTAATTATTTGTAATAATCGTTTATATACACATGTATCGAAATAAGCCTAGATAAATATGATTCTAATTTCTATTACACGAATCCTTCACTAGTATTCATTGTTGTTTTCTTAACATAAGTATTATCGGAAATATTTCTTGAAAAACTTTATGATATATCAAAAACTCTAAGTATACTTAGAGTTTCATAATGAAATTTATGTAATAGCATCAGAAAGCTATCTATCATGTTTGTTACATGATTAAAAATGAATTGACTATAAATATATACAATTTAAAGTGAATTATATTAATATTTTCTCACGAACATAATTTAAAAATGTTTAACTTAAAACTTTGATCTATCTCAAAGATAGATGTAAATATTTAATAGTAAAACTCATGTCTTTTCTGTTTATTTTCCAGGGCACTGTCAAAGGTATTGTTGAAATAAATCTTTCAAAATATCCCGATTTTAGTATAAAAACAAATCCACCTATTGGTAAACATTAAAGGATTTTTTTAATTTAAATCTGTTTTTTTTTGTATATTCTAATTTAATCCATAGGTAATGAACAATGTTGTACACAAAATGGTCAAGTTTATAGTATAACTGTTCAACCAAATGAATCTATTGAAGCTGAACTTATTCTTGTTCCAGCTGAAGTATATTTGTTCTTTTTTCACATTTCTTTATTACGTTTTTCTTTGTCTTTTTTAAGATTGCTTTCTATGATTTTCTTCTTCCAATTCGTACATGCCCACCATTAGTTAATGTTGAAGGTTTATCACAAGCATCAAAACCTTCATCAGCTATACATCATCATCGTGAATTAAGTGCAAGTGAACAAAAAGCTTTACAACCATCACATCCACCTATAAATCGTCGTATACGTGCAACAGCATTATCTGATTGTTTACAATTATCAACAAAAGAATTACATTTTCAAATGTATTCAACACAATATAATGCTATGAAACAAGGTGCTTATTGTGATTGTCAAGAAATCATATTAATAAATAATAGTAAAAAAAAAATTCATTGGCAACTTGATTTACGTGATAATATAACATTAGATAATGATATATTTCGTGTAGTACATTCATCACTTGTACCATTTATAAGTCCATCAACAAATATTGGACCAGAAGGTGAAATTGAACCCAAAGAAATTTTTTCATTTAAAATTAATTTTATACCAAAAAAACCTGGAATATATAAAACACGTATACCATTTTATATAAATCATAATCAACAAATACCTTATACATATATTGAATTAATTGGAGAATTAATTATGCCAAGTTTAATATTTGAACCAAGACGTTTAATTCTTCCACCAGTACCACTTGATATTGAAAGTGTTGGAACAGTTCGTGTACGAACAAAAGGTTTTGAAAAGTAAGTTTAAATAATAAACAAAATTCATTATTGATATTGGTTTTTTTTTCTCTTTTAAATTAGAAATACAAAATTAATTATCTTATCTCATGTTAAACCAATAGATGTTTCATATGAATTTCATGCATCATTTGTTGAACCAGCAATAGTTACTGTTGATAAACAACAAGATTTTACGATGAAAATATTTTTTAGTAGTAATCATTCATATTCTGAAAAACTTATTGTTAAAATAATTGATGAAGAAAGAAATAGGTTAGTTGTTTTTATTTGTTTGAAATTAATTTTGTTGGCTTATTTGTATTTTTCTTTTTGTCAGTTTTGAATATGAAGTTTATGTTACAGCTGATAATTCAATATTTACATGTTATTCATTTTTATGGAAATCAGAAAATGATTATCAAATTGTTGTACAACCAGGTCAAATTATGAAAGGAAGTAGAATTAGATCTGATGAAAGTAATTCAAGTGGTATGAATAAATAAATTTTATTTTTTGTATATCAAATCGATATTAAATTATTTTTAATTAATAGGTGAACCACTTTTAGTTCAAAAACGTACAGCAACAAGTTCAAATTCTCGACCAAATACAAGTACAAGTGCAACATTTGATCCAATTGATCAAACATCTGATGAAACATCAACAGATGAAAATATATCAGCACAAAATCGAAATGAACGTTCTCCGGTAAATAAAATTCTAATGAGTAAAATAGAATAAATAATCATTTTAGTATGTTTTTTTTTTCTTTGAAATATCTCAATCTGATTTTTTTTTTGTCATTTAGAAACAAATTCTTTTTTCTTATCAAAAGATTTAATTTTTAATTGTCTATAAAACTGTAGATTTTTATTAATGAAAGAAATCAATTTATTATGACACTTATTTTTGACTCTATAATCTATTCCCATTTGTTATTAGAGTAAATGTTGATTGAAATTGGAATAATCTAACAAATTTGAGCATTAACTATTTGAAAACTAATGATCTTTATCGACATAAATCCATATATGACTTCTATGTCGGTTTTGTTGCTGCTTATTTCATAGCTAAAAATTCTCAGTTACTTATATGAATTATAATTCTGCCAAAAGTTTATTAAATCAGAGTACTATATATACTCTTATAAATGATAACATCAAGAAGTTTAATAATTACAGAAGATTCAAATATAATAACACAAATTAACATATCATCACTTACATTAATAATGATGTCTGCATCATTGATTTTAAAAATTAATAAGATATAATGGATGTTAGAATACATAGATAATGATTATAATTATATGGTAATGCAACCTATTTCATCAATTTTCATACATTATTTGTTAAATAATATGCTGATATTCTATAATTCATGAGTTTTTCAATGTATTGTAGTGGATTATTTTTATTTTATGACATAAATACATTAAAATTCATAAGAAAGAAAAAATAATTTTCATCAATTTTTTTTTCGTTTAATTTATTATAAGAAAATAATGCATTGTGTTCAAATAGTTGTTCAATGACCAATAATACATTGAAACATTCATGGATTATATAGCATTAGAACGTTTTTTTGTAAAATAATGCATCGAAATTCATGAAATAAGTTGCATTATTATGTTCAGAATAATCAATGAACAAATTAGTTAGATTATTCATTTTCAATGGACATTTACCAATGATAAATGAAAATAGATTATAGAGTCAAATATAACATCACCTGAAACTTTTGCAAAAAGCTTAAACAGGATAATAGTTTATATTCGAGTACGTTTTTATTCAGAAAATTTGGAAACATTCATTCATTAATAAGAATATACAGTTTTAAAGAGAATTAAAAATTGAATCTTGTTATGAAAGAAAACTTTTGAAATGGCAAGAACTGGTTGAGTGATCAAAAAATACTGAAAGAGTTATTTACTTTGTTGTACCCGTTATTAATATTATACGATTGTTATAGAACTTAACTAGCGCATAAAATCAACAACAACTTAAAAAATTTAAATTTTTAATAGCTAAGAAAAACTTACACATTTATACAAAAGCTGTTAAAACTATTCAATAAGCAAATAATTTTATTTGATTTTGATTTTCGTCAAATTAAAGCCTATAGTTGCTAGTCTACTGATGCAAAAAATTCCAAATTAATCCATTGATCTATTGAGTTTTAATTAATGATATAATCACAGCGTGTCGTTTTTCATCCTTTCAAAATTATTCAAGTACTTTTTTTTTGAAAATTGTTGCGAGCTTGTTATAAGTTGAAATCTCCTTTATGATACATGATGCGATAGAACAAATTCTGCTCTACATTAGAAGTACTTTCTATCGTGACTGTTTTTTGAGTAAAAGTCAAAAACCAATGTTTTTAGGAGTCATATCGGAAACTGTCAAGAAAAAACATGACAAAAGACAATTCATTTTTCATATGATGCTTTGCTCGTTTTAACATCAATCACAGGTAGAATTTTTTGTACGAACTCATTCACTCATTGTAGGAGGTATAAAAAATTGTTTTCACAGTGTGAATTCTTAAAGAGTCTTTTTCTATAAAAAGCTGTTATATTTGAAATTAAAACCGATTATATTACTCAAATTATTTGCCTTTGTTACGTTATACATTGCAGGCGTAGAAAGCTTATCGTAGTCTCAGTAGTAGAATAGATATGTGTCTCATCAAACAAAGACATGTCAAGTCAAACTTAACATGATTCATTTTTTTAACTTTTATCTTCTACCTGTACAGACATGATCCTCAAAAATTAGTTATGTATTTGATGAGATCTACATATAAGTTGTTGCTTGAATTATGGTAAGGTTTTTACTCCTGCTATTTATAACATAACAAAGGTATATAACTTAAGTGATATAATCAATTTTGATTTCAAATATAACAGCTTTTTATAGAAAAAGACTCTTTGCGAATCTATGCTGTGAAAACAATTTTTTATATCTTCTCCACTGCGTGAATGAGTTCGTACAAAAAGGTCTATATGTGATTGATGTTAATATTGGCTAAACATTATATGAAAAACAAATTATCTTTTGTTACGTTTTTCGTAACAATTTCTGATATGGATAAAAAAAAAACATTGGTTTTTTACTTTTACTCAAAGAAAACCTATGATAAAAAAGCATTCCTTATGTAGAACAGAGTTTCTTCTATTGAATCATATATCATAGAAGAAATATTAACTTATAACAGTCTCGCAACAATTTGCAAAAATAAGCTTATCGTCAATAAGAACTAAACAGATCAAAGGATTGATCTAAGTATACCAGAGATTATGAGATGTAATTTGACGAAAACCAGATCATTTTAGCTCATCTAGCCTTTGAGACATACACAAAAGAAAAAGAAAACTATCTACTAATTGGATAATTTTGACAGCTACGGTATGTTGGATTTAGATATTAAATTGTTTTAAGCAACTTTAATTAGAGTTAAAGTTTAAAAAGATTAATTACAATTCAAAATTTGATATAGTTATCAAAAGATCTAATAGAAATATTCTTTTAGGTCTATAAAAGAATAACTAAAAAATACTAATTAAAATTTTTTAATCCAGAAAAGTCTTAATGAAAAATAATGGCATAATTTTCAATCGATCAATATTAATTTATACGTGTAGTCAAAGTTGTCAGATCGAAAAATGAAAAATTTACATTTTAAAATCAGAAAAAAAGAATCTGTAAAGTAATTTTTATCATGTTAAGATGTCCGTTCTAATTTCATAATTAAAAATCGATAAAAATAATATAATATGTCAGATTAAATCAGTATGACTAAAAACTAAACAATGATTCAATCTCGAATATATTTTCTTATAAAACTTTTTTTTACAATTAGACACCTTTCCGACTATGTTTTTTCGATAATGTCAGATGAATCGTTTTCGAAGTGAAATTCTTCAGTTGGTCTCGAATGTACATTTTTTTACATATGGAATATCTTCTTGGCATATAGCGAACAGCAGCACATCATTATTATCAAGGTTCCGTAATTTAATTTTGTCACTACTTCATCATTATGAAAAAGTCACTTGAGAATTATTGTACGGAATGTCTTAGAAACCTTTTTTTAAAGTATTCTTTCTATTGACTTTTATTTAAAGAAAAAAAACCTATTTCATGCATTTGCTTATAAAATGTTCTAGAACTACTTATTGAATAGAACTCGCAATAGAAAAAAAGGTCAAAGGGTCGAAAATTCGACAACTTATTTATAATCAACTTGATAATATATCACAAAAAAAAACCATCGTATATTCCTTCTCATTTCAGAAATTCTATATAAAATTATTTATCTTTTGTTTTTCGAATTAAATATTTCAGACACCTTATGCTCGTATTCGTTCTGGTTCATCAAATACATTTCATCAAGCAACAACTGTTAGTCAAGAATTAAATGCTGTTTCAATTCCATATTTGGATAATGATTCAAAAACATTTCAATGGCTTGTATCAACACTTGAACGATGGTATTCGAATCAAGGTTGGCCTAAAGGTACACATTCTGTTAAAATTCCTCAATCATTTCGAAAGTAAATTTATCTTATTTCTTTTTTTTTTTTGCTTGAAATACGTTTGGTTTTTTGTTTCTTTTTCTATAGTGCATTATTTAAACGACTATTTGAAACAGTTGGAACCAAACAAAATGCAAAAGAAGAACAAAAAACAATTTATGATATGATAACACATTTAAGTGGACATGCATTACCAGGTATACCACAAAATTCTGTACCACCAAAAAAAATGGATGAAGCTACAAAACAATATTTATGGCAACATCGTTTATTATTATTATTTTTAAAGTATTTTATCAATTTATAATCTTGATTTATTAGACCGAAAAACAAAGAATTGTTTTTTTTTTCTTTTGTTTTTCATAGAACACAAGGTTCATGTACAGCTTTTATTCGTCCAGAATATCTTCTTCCATTCGATTTATATAATGTTTATGTACAAATGCGTGAAACAGCTTTATCAGCAAGTATATCGAATGAACAAAAAGATACTGAATTAACTCAAGAACTTACAAAACCTCTTCATTTATCACAAGAAGTTTTTGAAACTGTATCCAAAAAAACATGGGTCGATGTACTGATGCAAATACTTAAAGTAATTCTTTAATTTGATGCTATGAAATAAACTTCTTCCTCAATACAAAAAATCATGAAGTTCTATTTTTGAAAATTCATATTACTCTTCCGAAGATGGCTTTCTATTACGCCTTGGAAAATTCTTTTTGTGGATAGTCTTCTATTCCGTACGGGTTTAATTCTTCTTTTTTTTCTTTTTTAGAGTCTTGTACTTGGTCGTATAACACCAAAATCATATGAACAATTAGGTATACCGGAACGAAGTAAATTAATGCCAGATATAAATACTGATCCAACATCAAGTAATATTTATGGTATTAGTGAACGAATATTATTAACATGGCTTAATTATTGTTATTCAAATTATCGTGAACAAGTTTGGACACATCGTGAACAATGTAAAGAAAGCTTTATTATCTATAATTTGAGTTGAATCTGTTTTTGAGTCATGTTTATGTATTCGAGATATTTTGTATGATAGACAAAAAAAAAAAAAGAAAACTGATTGATTTCGAAAAGAAATAATCGTATTGTTATTGATTCATTATTGTAAATGAGAAAAAAATAACAAAAATTGTTTATGTATTTTATTATTTTAATTCTAGCTAATATGCCATCTGGTCGTTGGATTGTTAATTTTGATATTGATCTTGTTGACAGTATTGTACTTGGTACAGTATTAGGTGCCTATTGTCCATTTTTAGTATGTAGAATTCATTGAAAAATTTTCAATAAAAAAAAAACAAAGTAACAATGATTTATTTATGTCGTTTTTATTATTAGATTGAACCTCATTTACAACGTATGTATGTTCATCCAACAACTGGTGAACAATATTTACAAAATGCACTTATTATTATTTCTTGTTTATTACAACTTGGTCTTGAATATGATCTTCAAGCATTAGATATAACACGTGCTGATCCTATATGCATGTGTTTATTTGTTTGTTATTTATATGAACATTTACCTGAGTATTTATCCAAAGGTACAATACAATTTGGTGGTATTTTACATGAACCATCGACATCACAAGTTAAAATAACAAATCCAAGTATACAAACATTAACTTATTCAATGAATATTATTGGTCGCGATGCTGATGAATTTCAACTTGTTAAAGGTGCAACATTAAGTATACCAGCTAAAACATCATTATTAGTTAATATTCAATCGAAAAATAATCGTCTTCGACCAACTGATGCTGTTTTATTATTATATGGAAAACGAACAAGTACTTATCCAGGTTCAGCTATGGTCTTTTATTTACAAGGTTCAATACAAACAGTTACACCAAAAGTAAGAAATAAAATAAAAAAGGAGAAAAAGACAAAGGAAAAAAATTCTTTTACACTGATCATATTTTTTTTATGCATGTCAATGAAAACATTTGTTCTCTATTGTCCTTCTTCTTATAATAGTGTGTTTATTCGACAAAGGTAAAGATCAAGTTTTTGATATTTTGTTAATTGACTTGTAATGTTTTGTTGTGTTTTGTTGTTAACTTGATTGACTTTTAAACAATCTCAATTAGTTTTTTTTAAGAATATTGATAAAAATTTTTTTAAATTTATTTTAATTAGAAAATTCATCGTATTGAAGCACCACTTTATAAAATAACAAAATCAACAATTGAAATAACAAATCCATATGATCAAGGTGGTATCTTTCAAGTAGCTATTGTTAATTCATCTGAAAATACACAGGAAATGAAAAATCCATTAGTTACATCAATTGAAGGGTGAATATTTCCGTTTTTTCTTCGTTAGATTTTCTTTTAAATATAAATCTCTCTTGTTTTTTTTCTTCTATTGATAGAAATAAAAAAGATACAGTTGAAGAATTATTTCAGAATTTAAAAAAAACTAAAAAAAGATCAAATCAAAATCATGAAGCTGATTGTTTTTTTATTGAACAAACTTCAATTGAATTAAAAGCACATGAAACAAAACATTTTGAAGTGCAATATATTGCAACAACATCCAAACGTCGTGAAGCATTACTTGTTTTTATGAATGAAACAATAGGAGAATTTCTTTTTCTTATTGAAGGTATTCCAAAGAAACCTGAGTATGCATTATAAAATATTTATATTTACATTGTATACATACATTTATTCTTTTTCTTTTTTGTAGACCATTTCCCGTATCCAGTGACAAAGCAATGAAATTTGATCAGAAGAAAGGTAAGCAATCAATTATTGACGAGAGTTTTTCACATTTCTTAGAACAAAATTCAGTAATGTCTTTTTTCTATCGAAAACTGTTTTGATCATAACAGGTGACCCAATAAAGAATAGATGTTTCAGTATTTTGAAAGATCTCTTATTTATAAATCACTCGTTACAATGCTTAAAATATCTTAGAAATAGTATTTATATTGTCGAGGAATCAAGAAGAGATATTTGCAGAAAAAGATAAAGTAACATTTTGTTGTTTAAGCTAAAAAAGATATAGACAAGGATAGAAATAATAAAATTTACTAAACAATACAATTACTATTAGAATTCATAGTACAATTTATAATTCTAAAAGATATTTTTTTGAGTAAAATCGTTACACTAACATATTAAGAATATATGTCAAAAGAAAATCCAAAGTCTCATAATCTATATATAATTTAAAAGTCTTCTGTTTTTATTTCTCTCGATATATACGATTTCTATTCAAGCATAGAATTATCATTTATAAAATATTTATAATTAACATTTCATTATATTTATTAGCTAAAGTAGAAAAACTACGCTTTCAAGCTGTAGTTGGTGTAACAAATGTATTTGATATTGATATTCCTGTAAAAAATAGTCAACGACACAATGCTTTAGTTGCTGTTCGATGGCAGGTATGACAAAAATAAACCTCTTCAGTTTTACCTTTTAATATAATTATTTATATGCGAAAAAAATAACAGGGCATGTCAGAACGTGAACGACAAAAACAAACATTACTTGGTTTAACTAATCAATTACCAGAACCTTCAAAAAAAACTTTTCATCCATATTCTCGTTTACCTGAATTTAAAGTTCAATCATCATCAACATCAAATAATTTTATTATTCCAACAAGTTTATCATTTCCAACCGAAGAATTATCTGTTAAATTACCAATACGTTTTCAAGCTGATAAAACAGGTATTTATTCAACAAGAGTTTCTTTAACATGTGGTGATGATATACGTGATTTTGATATTGAAATACATTGTGTTACACAAAGTGATAATGATAAACAAACAGCTGGATTACATATGAGAACAAGTGTATTTACACCTGTACAACAAAACATTCCAATTGTATGTTAAGATTTATTTATTTTTATTTGAATTTAAAAATTCATTGTTTTTTCTTTTAGGCTAATTCAACTGAAGATGATTGGAATATGACAGCAACATTTTCGGGTAATAAAGCATTTTCTGGACCAAAAACATTTCGTGTTGAAGCTAAATCAGTCTATCAATATCCATTAACATTTCATCCACAAATTGAAGATGATAAATTTCAAGCTCAAATGATAATTAGTAATGCTGATACAGGTTTTACACAAGCATATAATCTACGTGGTAAAGCTGATCGTGGACCACCTGTAAGTTAAATTATGTTGTGAAACACAATCTAAAAGAAGTGTTGAAGTATAGAAGTAAAAATTTGGACGTTCCACAGATCATAAGCAGATGCTATTCACAAAAGAACATTTCAAATTGTTTGATCGCTTTCTACTTGAAGCTATTTCTATTGAATCGATCATGATGACTAGTAACAAAAGTCTGTTTTGGTTTGATTTTCCGATCTTCACGTGTTGAGTCATCGGCGCCTTACTCAGGTTTTACTCTGTAAGCATAGGATTGTTGAGAATCTAGATGATCAAATTTCAAACTGAAATTTTGTCCATAAATAGGATTGATAGTTACTAGAAACATCTTTCTTGTGAAACATACACCCCAGAAAAATAGGTGTTTCTTTAAAATATATATATTTTAGCAAATATTTTGGCTCAAACTTTGAGATGTTTCTAGTGATTATCAAATCTATCTATGGACGAACGTTCAGTTCAAAATTCAATCATTCAGGTTCTCAACGATCCTATGCTCATTGGACAAAAACTGAGTAAAACACCCATAACTCAACTCACGAAGATCAGAAAACTAAACCAAAACATACTTTTTTACTACTCCTTGCGACAGATCGAATGGCAATAATCTCAAGCGAAAAGCGATTGAACAGTTGAAAATGTTTCCTCGTCAGAGTCTATGACAAACTGTATATTAATAATATTTCATTATAATATATGAACTAATTTCTTATTGTATTTCTAAAGGATTAATAAAGAAATGTGTCTGAAATTAGATAGAATAAATTACATCATGTTTCACATTTTAATCCCATAGGAATTTTGCTAACGCCTTATACAGAATGCAGTTTAAGAAAAAGTCTTTTTCCTTTATTAGATCGGTCATTTACAATTAGAAAGCAAAGTTGGTTCAACGTAAGTTTAACTTTGAAAGGAAATAATTAAATAAATAAATTTCTTATTTTATTTTATTTTTTTTATATAGAACAACTCATACTATTAATATATCAAATAAAAAAGCGAAGAGAACTGCATATTTTGTCACATGTAATCTTCCATTTGTTCAAGGACCACCTTATGTTTGTGTTCAACCAAAAAAATCTGCTCGATATGAATTTGAAATTTGTCCACCAAAACGAGGCACTTATAAAGGTGTTGTCGTTTTTCAACCAGGACCATGGCCTATTAAGTATGTTTGAATTGCAGTAAATAAAAATAAAAACTCATTTTTAATTTTTGTTTTTTTAATTTTTATTTAAATAGAGATATTGATTCTGATGGTGATGAAATTCCACCACTTGAACAAGATGATCCGGCAGATTTTCAATATTCACTTTGGTTTACGGTTGATATTAACGTTCAATCACCTAATCCTCAAACAACAGTTGATTTAACAGCACCATGTTTAGTATGTTTAGTTAAATATGATGTTTATTTAGCAAAAAATATCTGCTAGAAAATTTTTCTTTTCTATGCAATATTTTATATATTTATTGATTGAAATCAAATGATGAATGTCTCATAGATGAGTTATTATTTAAAAAGGCTTTGAGAAATATTAATTTCAAATGATTTTTCTGGAATCTTCGAACGTTAATTATTGAATGTCTCGATCGTGCTGCTAATTCTTGTTTTGAATAATAGATTAGAGATTCAAGTTTTTATTGTTACGAGAGAAATTCTTGACTGTAATACAAAGATTAACTTCTTTTTTCTGATACGTAGAAATATTAACAAGGTAACTTCGTAAATGACTAAAAACTTTTGAGTCCATATTTTTCCTAGTAGTGTAGAAGAATACTAGAGTAGAACAACTTTCGAAAAGGTTCGTGGCCTTTTGGGATGTTAATCGAACTATTGAATTCACTTTCGTAGGATTCAAGAAGTAAAAAACGGATTTTTTCAGTTTTAATCGAAAACAACCCGAAAATTTGAAAGAGTACAACAATAAAATCCACGAAAAACTTTTAAAAAATCTATTAAGATTCGGAAATCTGTAGAAGTCTGACTCTGCTGTTCCCATCAATAGGAGCTTACATTTTCAATAAAAATTTATGATTGAATTCCTGCCTGAAATTTAACTCACACAAAATTCTCACTTTAACTAAGATGCATAGAAAATTTCAGGATCTTTATATCTCGTCTTTTCTAGATATAAAGTTTTCAACACCTAACATCTTCTCCTTGATATCGAGTAAACTATGTAAAGAATAGTATGTAAGTGTGGGTGTTTTCCTCTTCATACTGATACGCACAGCTACACCGACAACCTTTCACGAATTCGACTGAATCTAACTATTGAACCTCCCACAAAATGTAGAAACTATACTATCACCATGAGTTTTTTTGGGTAAAAATAAAGACGAACAAAACTTTCTTTTGATGGTATCTGTTTTTGACCAAGCAACATATTTAATCAATTTGGTAATAAATTAATTAATCGTAATAGAATGGATCATATTTGATGCCGACTTGTTTTCAGTTATGTATTCATTCGGTGATAGTGAAATAGGAGAAAATAGAAATTACCTATATATTGAATGAAAAAATAATCTATGCCATTATAATATAGACTGAAATCTTGAATATCTAGAATAGATATAGGTCGATGTGACCGAATGTCTTTATAAGCTATTCATTGTTGTCAATTATTCTCTATCTAGTGTGACAAAATGATTTTCATTTTTTTCATAGAAATAATCTCATATACATTTATTATAATTAGAGAAACGATCATTGCTTATTTAACAATATTTATTTCAAAAGAACACATTTCTATGATCAATATGTAAAAGTAAATTAAGCAAGAAAATCACAATTTATAATTGATTCTAGTAGTCGGAAAATTTTTGAAGTCTCGACATCCGGCAGCTGATTAATTTTCAATGAAGGCGTATAAATCAGAATATAGTTTTGTTTTCTTTTTCGCGAAATAGCAAAAAAAACAAAGATCTATTAAATAACTTATCGGTTTCTTTTTTAAATTTAGGGTTCAAATTCATTAATTATTCCATTGAAAAATCCGCTTGATCATCCAATACGATTAGATATTGATTTAGAAACATTACCAGATGTTATTGTAAGATTAATTTTGACCAGTATTGTTTTTTGTTGTTGTATAGATAAATATTTATTTTTAAGGGTAATGATTCAATAGAAATAGAAGCAAATGGTGAAGCTCGTTATGAACTTATATTCAAACCGAAAACTATTGGAAATTGGAATGGAGGGTAAGAAACAGAAATCTTTAGAGAAAAAAAAACTAAAGATTTATTTATTCAATATATTTTTTTTTCTTTTATTAATTTTTAATTATTATATTTTATCTCAATCAATATGTCAGAAGAATATTTTTCTGCTAGAATGAATTCTATCGATTATATGGAAAAAGAGAGTAATCAGCCGTGTTAACTGTCATACTTATATATATATTTTTCTAATTGATAGACAACATAAAAAATAAACGTGTGTAAATTTCTAAAAGTTCATTTGTTTTTGTTGTTGTTTCTTTAGTCTTATCTTTTATAATGATGAAATTGGTGAATTTTGGTATGAAATTAATTTAATTAGTACAAATCCACAAAAAGTTGAATTACCATCAATGAGTGCACCACTTGGAGGGTAAGATATATATTTATATATAAATGAGTGAATTGTAATTTTACGATTGGTGCAAAAAACCGAAAGTAGACCTAAACAATATCTGAGTAGTACATTGTATTATACTGTATGTTTATATTACACAGCACACGTTTTCTAAATATTCACCGAGACATGACTCACTTCGATGTAAACATATCGTAAGAAACATTATTTAATGGAAAAACCGATTATTACTCGCTGAAATTTCATGTAATAAAACTGGTTATTAATTCTGAGCTGATGTTTGCTCTTAAAGTAGAGTCAATTTCGAAAATGGAACAAGTTTTCAATAATATAAAATGTAATCTATCTTGTCTCACTGTTCTTTAAAATATCATATTAAAACTGTTTTTCTACAGGCCGTAATAGACTACTCAAACTCTATGTAGTAGAAATACTTTTTAAAATTTAGAATCGATGTTCGAAATAAAAGAAAGATGCATTTCTACAATGAAATAGATTCAATCGTAAAAAATACTATTTATTTTGATTTATTCTCAATTGAAATATTATATGATAAAATTTTATTCCATATTTTGTTCTGTAATGAAAATTTCTCGAGAACATTTGTCATACAGTATTTCCGACGATTAGACATGAAAAGAGAAAGGTACATAATTCGACAGAATACTTCAAATTGATTCTCAGATAACTCTATACATCCACACTCACTCCGAGACCAGTAACATACAAAAAAAATTGTTCGAATTGATCAACCAGAATAAAAGTTATTAACCAAATACAGCTAAAGTCTCAATCGTATGAAAAAGTTAATATTCACTCATATATATATATATAAATTATTATTAAATATTGATTAAATCATCATTGTAATATGTTTTTTTTTTGTTTAAAGAAATGCTACACAAGAAATAACAATTGAAAATCCACTGGATGAACACGTTACATTTCAAACAATATTATCAAATAATAATAATTTTACAATAAATACTGATCAAGATACAATAATAGTCCAACCTAAAAGTCAAGCTAAAGTTAATATTATATTTAATCCTTCATCGATTGGAAATGGAACTGAACAAAAACATCAATCGAAAATTTCATTTGTTAATGATAAGGTTTGCATATAAAAGAAGGAAAAGAAAAGAAGAACTATTACTTTCAATTTTTACAATCTTTGTTTTTAAATGCACATACATTAGATTCAAACAAATCAGGATTCTCTTCCGAGTACTGAAAAAGTAACATGATGCTTTATCTTGCTCTGCTATACCGCTTTGCTGATAGAAAATTATATTGCATTTAAAACAAAAACGAATTTATTTAAATTTAACAGATATTTGAAATAAATTAGTTGAATAAATCTCTCCGACGATTAGTAGGAAGAAAAATCTATGTTAAGTGAAGTGACTAGTCCAATGGTATTGATATCAGAGCTGAGCATCGGACACAGAAGCTGATCCTGTATTTAATCTAATTTTTATTAGAATTTTTGCATAATACACACCGTCATCAGTAATACTTGATACGTATTGAGAACGACGACGTATTTGGGTATAGGAGTCTTCTGTAACCCTCAACATAGAATGATGTATAACGTAGTAGTCTTCTTATAACAAAACGTTCCACATATACATAGAGTAAGTGTCTCTTACAGTGATTTTTCAGTAAAAAAAAAAAAAGTTTTTTTTTATCGAATTTGACTTTCTCAGGTAATAGTGGTATTGGAGAGATGATAGAGCTATATTGAGCAGAAAAGATGGTCTTTCTAAGTTAAAAAAATATATGTCTGGCTCGTCTATGGAAAAATGCCTATTGTATTCCGTGTGGTAGAACCGACTGAAATAGTAGGAGAGGACAGAAACAGTTGTCCTGTGTTCAGCTATGATCGATATGAATATGTATGGAAATTGTAATTTTGTATTTTGGAAACATCTCGTACCATCTCTCACATTTGTTCACACTACTGCCGGTATATCGGCAATAGATTGCCAGTCAAAAAACAATTATTGGTATATCGTGATAGAAAGGCAGTTAGAACATAACCAACCGTTGAAGTATCAAACTGCTATCGGTTGATTTGTGGTATATCGAACAGTTTACGAACATTTTTTTTTTGACTCAAATTCCATGGTATATTTATCTAAATATTTCAATACTATCCTCACCTTATGATCTACGTTTTGAAATGAAATGAAAAGGAAAAAAACATAATTATTCAATTGATCATTTATTTCTATTGCTTGTTCAAAGTGATTTCTGTTATATATGAATGCTTAATACTGATTTAATTATTCATTTAATTATATTCTTTTTTTTTTAATTTTAGCTTGGTACATTGAAATATACTGTTAAAGGTGTTGGTACAAAACCTCAAAAACAACAATCTCCTATTATTATGACAAGTGAAACTGGTGTTAGCTCAACAACAAATATTGATTTTCAAAATCCATCTAATCATCCGATTCGATGTGATTTTTCTCTTTCATCTGGTAAGAAAAAAAATGTTAAACACATTCTTTATATAAAATGAAATTTGTTTTCTTTTTTTAATAGGAATGAATAATTCATTTCGTATTTTACTTGATAAAATTGAAAATATATCAATTGGACCACGAGAAAAATTTCATATTCCAATTGCGTTTTGTCCAGAAACCTTATCTCGACATGACGCACAATTACGTATTATTGGACGTTTACCAGAAGGAAAAACTTGGTCACCGGACAGGTAAAAAGAACTTGTTCTTTGTTTCAATAAATTCTTTAATGTTTATATTTTGTTTTTAAAGTCCTGATGCATCTGAACTTTCATGGACATATCCTTTACAAGGCATTGCTTTTAATTGGATTCGTCAAAAAGATGAAGCGGATAATCAATTGACAATAATTGAATGTGTAGCTGGTGAACGAGTTGAACAACAACTTGAATTTGAATTAAATCGACAATTATTTCGTTTTGATAATCGACATTTAAATAGTAAAAACAAAACCAAAACTGTTTTTTTTTCAGTGCAATAAAAATAATGTCTTCTTTTATTTTAGTAAAAAGAAATCCAACTGCTATTGAAAATTATACAATCATTAATGAAAATATTTCTAATCAAGAATTTGTTCAAAATTCAATTGGTATTCAACTTCTTAAACGTGATAATGAAAAAAGTGATATTGTTCGTTTTAATATTATCTATACACCATCAAAATTTATAACGTAAAATTTTTTTTTCTTTGTTTGAAATATTTAAATGAATAGACCTTTTGTTTTTTTTTCCTACAGAATGGATTGTATACTTGTTTTAACACTTGCAACTGGTGGTCAATTAAAATATCCATTACGATTTGTTAAACTTGACATACCACCAGATGATGAGATTACACTTGAAGCTGTTGGCCTTAATAAAATATCTACTATTGGTTTCCGTTTATATAGTCCAGTAGAGTATGTTAATAAAATTATTTTTCGATTCAATAAAATTTAATTTCTTTTTTCTTTAATTGAAATAGTTCACCAATTCCATTTGAAGCTTATTTTACATCAAACAGTGATCGATCATTCGGTATAACACCAGAGTATGGTGAATTATTACCAGCAAGTGCAAATGGTACTTTATTAAAAATATCATTTTGTCCAACTGTTTATGGACGAACTTTCAACGCTATGTTAATTGTGAATGTACGTAGGAAAAAAAATCTCTTTTTAATCAAAATTGAAAAAAAGAAAGTTTAAATTATCAGATTTATTCATTAGAAAATGTTTTTGGCTAACGAGAGAAGTATCTGAAATCTCCAGTTCTGTTTTTGACTCATTCATAGAGTGTATTGAGATAAGAAAAAAAAACCTAAAAGCGTTCGAGCTCATGGCCTACTGGGAAGGTAGGAGAGCATAATAATCCATTCTATTTGGAAATTAATTATCTGGAGAAAGACAAGTTTGTTTTTGTTGAAACTTTCAAGACTATCTAATGACTATTAAATCTATTTATAGTGAAAGTTTCTGAGCAAAATTCTTCACTTTGGTTTTTATCGGAAATGTGTAACTCTCATTCAAAATGTCTTAACTCTTCGCTAATAGGTCATAGACGTGAACCCTTTAAGGCTTTTTCTTATTTCTATTAACTCTATCGAATAAAGTATGAATGAGTCAAAACAGAACTAGATACTTCTGGTATTTTCGTCGTAAGAGTAAATAGTCAAGATTTAACTTTGAAATAATAAGTTGTTTTAATAAACTAGTTTTTCGAGTATAGGTATCAGTGCATGGATTTCTACAAAATTGTTTCGTTTGCATGACATTGATCCTACAATATACAGTTGTCAGACTATGAGAATTACAATAGCTATTGTTAGATAATCGGTTCGGAAATTCGCATATGTTAAAAAGAGAGAAATGCGTCGTTGAATTGATGATTCAAGAACTAGATATAAGATGATGAAGAAAAATTTAACAACCGCGTATTTTCGATTTTTTTTTCCTATAATGTTAAGCAACTAACTCAAATCTAGACAGTGATTTTAGTAATCGATGGAGTTTTCTGTATAATATATTCTATACCAAAATTTCATAGGCGACTATGATGGCCAAATTTTCAACGAAACAGGATCCGCTAGTTTTCAGGTCCCAGAAGGCTTTGTCAGGGGTATTTTAAAGAGTACAAAATGGAGGATCGCTGTATTTTCTACGACCTTTCTTTAAAAAGTTAAAAGTATCACAAAAAACTGCAGAAAAAAGCAAAATCGACTAAATAACACTTTTTTTCGGTTTTTGTGACAGCTTTAACTTTTTAAAGAAAGATAGAAGAAAATGAGGCGATCTCTCAATTAATTCAGAATTTTGTGCTCCTTAAAATAGTTTCGACACAGTCTTCTAGGACCTTAATACTACCATATCCGGTTTTTTAAAAAAACTTTGCCATCGTAGTTCATGTATGAAATCTTAGTATACAATGCATTATATAAAAACTTTATTGACTATTAAAATCAATATCTGGATTTGAGCTAGGCGCTTAACAATATAGAGAAAAAAAAATACTTTGTTATTAAACTTTTGAATATTTTTCTATTAGTCTTATTATAATTTTTCAAAAAAAAAATTAAATAGAATTTTTGTTTATCTTTTAGGCACAAGATCATCAATGGAAATATGTTGTTCGTGGTGCATTACCACATTATGAACCACCAAAAAATCGTTCAAGTTTACCATCTGTTAATAGTGATGAATTCGCTAGTCGACGAGCAGGAGCTAAGAAACGAAATTTTATTCTTGAAAATCTTCAACTTCAACAAACAGCTGTCTCATCACCGATAAAAGGTGCATCTGTGTTAACAAAACCAAGTGAAACAACCAGTGTTTAAAAACTTTATTATTATTACTTTTTTTGTTTTTATTTCTTGCTTTCCAGTGATGTATATCCATTTAACATAATTATGCCTTAGGTTAATTGTAAAATTATGAGTGTTTGTTTTCTTGTCCTGAAATTTGTGAACACACTAATATTATCTTTTTTTGCTTATCTTAATCACATTTTGAAATATTATTTTCAGATGTCATCACTTTTAAAAACAAATGAAGATCCAGTTAGTGAACGAAAAAAACTTTATATATCTGAACGACAAATTCCAATTTTATTTGAGGTAGAAATAAAATGAATTATTTATTTAGATAAGAAAATGATTTACAAAACAAAAACAAAATATCATTTAGGCACTTATGGCTGGTTTAATGAATTATGAACCGGATGATCATTATGATTTTATTATTGATAGTTTAATAAAAGTTTGTTTAATATATTTATAAATTGATTTTGTTTTTTTATTTTATTATTTAGATGCAAAAACAGAAATTACCACTTCAATGGGATACATTTATTCAAATGCATGATAAAAATAAATAAATAAAAAAATTGTGATTTAGAATCTTTTTTTCTCATCATTTGTTATTGAGTAGTTAAGTAAATCAATATTCATTTATGATATTTTACACTCTTTCTAAACATGTCCGAAATCATGTTTTGAAGTAAAAAATCTCCTTTTGACATAACTTTTTTATTCTTTTTTTTTAGATATACAGAAAAAAAAGCAATAGTATTTCAATTACTAGAAAAAATAAATATATTGAATTAATTCGTTGGAATCTAGTCAACTATATATTTTGGAATAACCATGGCAACAAGACCACACGGACTTTATAGTAGTCAACATACTACTAATTATATAAATAAAAAAGGAATTCATGAATTATTCGAGGTAGTAGATTTAGACAAAAAAACAAAAGTCAAAACAATTTATCTTCCTTTATGTTTTTTGTTTCAGGCCATAATGACAGCTCTAATGGTTAATAAACCTGATGATCATATTGCTTTTATTCGTGAATGTTTAGACAAGGTTGAATTTTGATTTTCTTTTCGAAATTTCTTCATTCTATTTTTAACCATAAATTCTAGGTGCAAAATAATCCAAATCGTCTTCGCTGGGATCATTTTGTGACAAATACCAGTAATATAAAAGGTGCCTTACCATCAAGATCAACAACTGTTAAAAGCCGACAAAAACCATTACCTCCTGTTCGTAGTTCAAATTCAACAACAAAAACAAGTCAAACATCAAATCGTCAAACACCAATCAAAGCACCAGCATTACCACCAATTGATCATAACAAAAAGACCTCTCAAAATCCACCTATTGTTTTTGTTCTAAGTAAATTTTTCTATTCGGCAAATAAAGAAAAAAAATTCATAGATTTTTGTTTTTTTTTTCGTATTCTTTTAAGGTTCATCCGGTTCAACAAAATTATGTTCAAGATTAATTGAACGTTACGATGGTATAACTTATTTATTGATTAATGATATTGCAAATATTGACGAAGATGATTCAATTGGTAAAAAGAACTTTCTTTATTTTTAATGAAATTAAATTCTCAAAAGAAAAATTTGTTTTTTAGATCTTAGAAAACATGAACATCGATATGATTGTGTTAAACATGCAATAGAACAACGTCATTCAAATTCACATGGTTTTCTTATAGCTGGTCATCTTGATGAAAAATATTTCTACGATAAATGGCAAGAAAAAGTATTATTTCTTTCTATTGATTCTACGAAATTTACATTTTTTTTAAAAATTAATCTTAACATAGCTCGGACGCATTGATTTAATAATTATATTATCATCCAATCGACAAACGATAGCAAGTCAAAATGTAGATATTATTCAAGTAAAATAATTAATTATATTATTTCATTGATAGCAGAAAAAAAAAATTATTTTTAGATCGATTCAAATAATGATTTTGACATTATACTTGCCGATGCAATTCGTGTTGTTGATGGGATTTTTCCTCATAATGTAAGTCTTATCAGTACCTTCCGGAATTTTTCTATAAATCTCGTTATATATTTTATCATTGGATGAATGAAACTAGGCTAAAGGCAGATACCTAGCTGAGGATGAGATCGAAAACGAGACTTACGACAAGGAATCAGCTGACGAGAGAACTACCCGAACTGATAGCTATCGTTTGAGCTCATATTGGGTTCACAACAAGGTCTCGATAAGATTAGAAATATCCTAAGAGGGTTTGTGTTATGATCTTCTGGCATCTATTTATGACTATTTTACTGAATTTTTGACCTACAATTTTGTTCATAGATAGATCTGGCCACTTTGGGAATATTTTGAAAGATTAAGTCGAAAAGAATGTTCCGTTGTTGAGATATTGAATTTTCAAAAAATGATCGTTTCCCATAGATGTACCGTAAAAATTGAGTCTACTTGCAAATTCAATATCTCGGCAAACAAACATTCTTTTCGACTGAAATTCTCAGGATATTTTTAGGATTTTTCTAGTCCTATTAAGACTTCCTTGTGAACTCAATATATGTTATCAATAGGATAAGTTCAGATAAATCCCAAAAAAAAAATAATTCTCAGTAGTCGCTCAAGCTTATTTGTAAAAAAAGCAAATTAATAAAATTTATTAATTTTTTCATTTAGACATTAATGAATCAACATTCTCAATTAATTGAATCGAAAACAAATCATTTTACTTTACCAATTATATTTTGCATTGATATTCATCGTTTATTAACAAAAGAAAATTGTAATCCTAGTAATGAACATAAACTAGTTGAACATGTATCAATTGATGATGAATTTGATATAACTGATGAAGGAAGTGAAGTTGAAAGTAATAATTCATTTATTTGTGCATTATGTGAACGTTTAGCCGAACAATTCTCATTTAAACATATTCGATTTGGAGATTCAAATACTAATTTACTTAATTTTGATCAATTAAAAACAACAATTATTGAATCAATGAGTACATGTACTGGTTATATTATTGAACATTTTCCAACTTCATTTAATAATCTTCAAGAATTTCAAACCGAAGTAAATATTGTTTTCTTTTCTTTATTTCTTGTTGACTTTGGAAAAAATTTTCTTTCCTATTTAAGATTGGTCCTTGTTCAGCATTAATTTATATTGGTGACCATAGAACAGAAACAAAATGTAGTGAATTTAATAGTATTATCGAAAAATGTAGACAAGAAAATAAAGCTATTTTTGTAAGTCAAATGAACTTAAAAAAAATTATTTTTCTTTTGTTTTTTTTTATTTATTTATTTGTTTCAGATTGATTGTCGAATGGAAGTTGATGAAATTTATGAAGATCTCAAAAAAGATATACTCGAACGTATTTGAAAGCGAATATTTGCAATATTGCTGAACTAATCTCTCGTGCCTTTTTTTAAATATTTTATGTGACGTTGTTTTTTTTCTACATCTAGTCATCTCGCAATGTTTTATGTGCAATGAAACGGGGTCAGACCCCTTTTCCTTTTCCCTTGCTTTCATTCTGATGTACGCTTGCTGTCGTCCCCTTTCTAGTCTCATATATATATATACACTTTTTTATGCCTTAAAGCTTACGCCGAACGAGGAAGCAGCAGTAGTGTTGGTGATCAGATGCATTTTCCTTTTTTTTTTCTCTGTCTGTCATTCTTTTTTACCCTCGTCCTCTTCGCACTACTACTGTGCGAAGAATAGATGTGAGTAAATATTAATTTGTTTGTCGTACTATATCGTCTTTGTACCAAATAAGTAAAAACAAAACAAATGCAAAAAAAGACAAAAAAAAAATACAAACTCAGTTTTAATATCAGTGTTGTTTTTTTTGTAGATTTCAGTTTTTATATTTTATTGCAAAGTTCAATTTTGTCTTCCAATTATGAATCAAATGAATACAAATGCTAATACAGAATTAGCAAAAGACTATATTGCTAAACGAAAAATTCCACAATTATTCGAAGTAAATTATTTTCAATCAATACCTAAATGAAAATGCCACGATCTAAATTTTTTTTCTAGGCATTAATCACTGGTCTTATGGTGCATAAACCAGAAGATCATATTGATTTCATTATTGAATCTTTAACACGAGTACGTTTTATTACAAGTGTCAACCAAAAAAAAAACCATCAGATATCATCATTTTTTTTTGTATAGCATAAAGATGGCAATCAACAATTAAAATGGGATACATTTATTGGACGAAAAGGTGGTATGAATAATACATTGGTTCCTTTGAAAACTTCGACAAATACAAATGTTACGTCGCCACCTCCTTCTTTACATACAGAATTGACTCGTCCACCAAAACTTGATGCAATACCAACAGGTAAACGAGAAGAAAGACCAAAAATTGAAGATCAACCACCACAGTCACCAATACCAGATCAACTACCACAATCACCAATTCCAAATCAACAACAACAAAAAGTAGATGATCATCAACAACAAAAAGTAGATGATCATCAACAACAAAAAGTAGATGATCATCAACAACAAAAAGTAGATGATCATCAACAACAAAAATTAGATGATCATCAGCAACAAAAAGTAGATGATCATCAACAACAAAAATTAGATGATCATCAACAACAACAAGTAGATGATGATGAACAACAACAAGTAGATGATGATCAACAACAACAAGTAGATGATCATCAACACATTAAAACTGAAGAAGTCGATGTTAAAGATTTACTTAAAGGCAAACCAATTATTTTTGTTGGTGGTGGACCAGGTATGAATATCAACATTTTAATATTGTATAAATAAAATCTTATCATAATTAAAGGTAGTGGTAAAGGAACACAATGTGAAAAAATGATTGAAAAATATGGTTTTACACATTTATCAGCCGGTGATTTAATTCGAGCAGCTACACAAGATTCAACAACTGAAAAAGGTCGTTATTTTAATGAAGCTATGTCACAAGGAAAACTTATTTCAACGGTAATACAAAAAAAAGAATTAACATTCCAGAAAAAAAATCATACGACTGACTTTTT